AGCTATCTGTTAATCTCTTATTATAAACAAAACAGGGTTGAAGAATTGGATGAATGCTTTAGTATTTATTGGACAATTCCTTTGTGTTATTTTTGTACCTGCTTCGTACTTTAACACACAAAGAAGGATGCGCCTCATTTCTTTTTGTTGTATTAAAGGAGAAAGGAAGGCTGAACACAGACAAGAGTGGAGCTTATCTTCATGTAGAACTATTAATAGTGAACGTAATATTGTAACTACTGCTACTAAGCAGTAGTTAGTAAGTTAACTAAGTTCCTAAGTTAGTACTTAGGAACAACTAAGCTGTAGTGCCTCTTCACCTCACTGTACAATACCTTTTGTGCAATACTTTTGTAAATAGTCAACGGTGCAATAGACTCAATACTTGAAATGTGCAATTCACTTGTATTTTTATTTTTATTCCTATTTATTATATTTATCCCCTTCGTATATTTTATTTATATTGTCTCTGTATTTATATATATGTGTGTGTGTATAACTCTGTAACTTCTGTCGGTGCTGTGCTTTTTTGGAAATCGAATTTCCCAGAGGAACCCACCCGAGGGATTAATAAAGTTCTATCTAATCTAATCTAATCTAATCTAATCTAATCTAATCTAAAATTAGCGCTTCCAGTCAGAGATTGAGCATTGTATTCCCAGACTTGCTTTCGGCACAATTTACAGTGCGAGCTACTCTGTTTTTTGTCAGACTTGAAATAGCCGAAATACCTTCACACTACGGAACTTCTATGGCTCTTCCGTTCGACAATCTCTCCGGCATTGGAATCATCATCTGTTTTCTCTTCGGTAACCTTCGGTCACGCTCTCGGTTGATTTTTCTCTAGTCGGCACACTCATTTCCTCCATTACCCGGGCGGCACGGCGGCTGGCTGCTTCCCAAAAAGTGTCAAGCCACAAGTGTCAAGCCCGGCGGCTTGACACTTGTGCTGTACGTAACAAGTCACGTGACGTGACGCTGCGGCTGTGATTGGTTCGGCTCTGCGCTAGTTAATTTGGATTGGATGTTCCTCTTTTGTTTTGTTTTGTTTTTTTTAAGAGGACAAGAGCGGTGAGGCCTATCGCAATAGTTAAATTTTTCTATCGAGAAAAAGTTATTTCGCAATACATATCGGTCTATCGCCCAGCTCTAGTCGCTAGCAATCACGTAGCACAACATTATATACCAGATAGTCCAACTTCAGTAACCCTGCAAACGCCACTGCTGTTTTGTTTTCTGTCTTCGTTTATGTTGGAAGTGGTAGCAGAGCTGTACGTTTGAATTAGTTTCAAAAATCTCTGTCAGAACATGGTATGAAATGTTTAGGTGTAAACTAGCTGAAGTGGACGGAGTTTTGGACCCAGATTATTCCGCGAAGCTCCTCACTACAGCAGCCGTAATGCTCTGACTATCCATCAAGCCGTGCGGCTTACCAAAGTTGTACTACAACATTTTTTAACAGATTTCTGCACGCCAAAATCGGTTCGAGGTCAGTAAGCACAACCAGAATTCATACATAAGGCACACTCTCGATTTTTGAGAAAATTAAAGGATTTTAAGTGTGCCTTATAGTGTGGAAAATACGTTATACAGAAGAAAAGAATATATCGTGATATATATTGTTACCGCACATGCTTCAAATTAAATTGCGATATGAATTTTAGGCCATATCGCCCAGCCCTACCAACAACACACCCGGCAGAACATTATGTTATTTACACGGGTGCACATAAGTGGTCCGCATGTGCGCATTCGCTGTCAAAATAAAAGATGCGCACCAGATAAGAAGTTGCAACGCGCGTTTGCGTCTCTATACAAAAAGCACTGTTTTTGTCCGCTAGAGTGGGATTTTCACGGCACATTCTGCACCAAATCTCTGTGCGTTCATCATTTGTTTGAAGCCAGCTCACCTCCTGCAACCACTTTTCCGAGAATACGTGCTTCTTTTGCGGTTCGGACATTTCTTTGGAGGTGGAGGAACACCAAAGTAATTGCTTAAAGGAGCTTGCTTCTTCGACATCTTTAAGAGTTCTAAACAAGTTTCTGTCCCCCTCTGGAAAATCTTATGTACGCAAACACGCGTTGCAACTTCTTCTTATCTTGTGCGTGTTTTTTATTTTGACAGCGAATGCGCACCTGCGGAACACTTATGTGCACCCCTGGTTATTTAGCTTGTCATATTGCAGCCACAGAAATTTGTCCATGAAACCATAAAGCTGCACTTTCTTTTTGCCTTATAGTCTGATTTGTCATAACTTTTCCGTTTTGTGGTAAGCTTTTCTTTGGCTGTCACTTCTTCACCCTGATCTGTCTTATTTGGCTCAGCAGAACTAAAATATATATATCCTGCTGCTTTTACACACGCACTCACATAACGCTCAGCGATTCTCTGCGCGATCAACCTCTCACATGTTTAACCTTGCTGCGGGAGATTTCACTTGTCATGTTTGCATAGTAAGCTAACGATTGATAAGACGATGTCAGAGGAATTGGTGCGCAAATTATCATCACTCACCAATCAGTACTGTCGCTCTCTATACACAGTTTGCGCGATTGCAAAGTGAAAGCAAAAAACAAGCACAAATTCAAACGCGATTTCAATATGTCACATATTGACAGTGGCTCACCAATGCCAATGACACAATTACCCAGCTACATTTCCGAAAGAATGCAAAAGCATTGACATATATTTTTCCTTCCTATGATAGCCCGACGTGCAGGGCAGAGATAGATTTTGGTAGCCCGACTGGAAAAATCCGGGCTAGCGATTTTACGAGCCCTGTGATTATAAGAGAAAACTATCTTCATCCTGCAAGTTAGCAGATATTTGATAAACTTCTGCTGCTTTTGTTGCTAACTGCCATGGTTGATTTCCTTCCGCAAGTATCCAGAGTCAGAAGAGACTGAGAAGGTGAGGGGAGTCTGGGCAGAGGCTCTCCACCCCTGATAGACACGAGGATAGACCCAGGACATTGTGTGAAGAAGAGGAGGAGAAAAAGGAGCAAGCAGCAGCTGATAGATGCAGAGGAGAACGGGGGGAGTGCAGACAGCTCTCTGTAGTTGAGGGACTGGTAAAAACATTGAAAATGCTTTCTTGATATTTGCTTCCTGTATTTGCTGAAGTATCTCCAACAAAAACTGTAACAGCTGCATACAGGGAACCACTCACTGATGTTTATCCTGCAGGACAGGATCTGACTGGGAAAGAAGGAAAAATAAGGGAACCACGGACAACTTTGATAATATTTTGATTTATCCAGAATATATTCAGTTCAAATATTGTTTTCATCACAGTGGGATTGTGCTGGTTTCAGTGGGGAAGGTATGCAGCTCATTTAAATACAAAGAGCTGTGAAAAGTTGTCCATTTATAAAGTGTGTTAGTATTTTATAAGGATGTAATGTTTCTGTATCATTTCTCTCCTTTTAGAGCCTCTTACCCAAACATCAGCCTGTTTAGTGCTCTCATATCTTCAACATCTTAAGTAAGTTGTACTGAACAGTTTTCTCATCAATAAAAGAATATTTACTGCATCAGTGTGTCTTCATTTCATCCGAAACACACAAGGATCAAATCTCTGACTTTATTTGAATGTATACCTTATAGATCCCCGTGGTGGAAATTCCTCTGCATTGCCTCAGGATAGCCACTGATTTGAATGTAATTCTCTCCCAGATACGTCACACAGAGCTGAAACGACAGTTTTCTCCGCTGAAAGTCAAACGAATGACATCAAATAAAGATTTTCTCTATTTCTGTCCAACATGCCGTCCACCACTGCTGTAGCTGTCACGGTTGCCTGGCAACAGAAACTGTTGTAGGCTAGACCGTCAATTCACTTCAGGTCTTCTCAGCCTTCGAAGGCTCCGGCTCTGTGACTCAGTCACCCTGGTAACTCCCAACAGCTGAGCGACAAGTATTGATAAATGTTTCTCTGCACACTGTGAAATCTAATGTGTTTAATTAAAAATATTAAGAAGACTGAACTTTTTTTTTAATCAATTTGTTATTAGAACTCAGTTTAAGTAAGCTAGCAGTTCTTTTTATTCAAGAAGCTGATCAACTCAGTTTATTTGAGTAGTGTTAAATTCTAAAAACTAAGTAAGCTTTGTAAAAACATGGATTCTGACCATCCTGAAAAGTTGCCGGAGGTACTTGATTCAGTCCACAGGATCAGTCAACGACGTAAGTCCTCTTCTGAGCTGAGTCAATAGTAACACCAAGGTTCCTGATAGGAGGTTTGGCAAATGTAACAAGTGGACCCAAGTTTTCCATAACAGTAGGTACAATTTTTTTAGGAGCACAAACAAGGACTTCAGTCTTCTCATTTAGCTGAAGAAAGTTTTCAGCCATGCAACCTCTAATGGAGTGTATGCAAAATCTGTAGCTTGGAAACATCTTGGGGCTTAAAGGAGATATATAACTGAATATCATCTGCATAGCAGTGGTAAGAAATATCCTTAAAAGTGCTCAATAAGTGCTGAAGAGGAAGTAAATATAACATTTCCAGCTCATTCAACATTTTTAACTTAACATTCAGCAGTTATTTCATTTTAGCTCAAAAACATTCAGCTATCAGCATTCACACTGCAGTTTCTTCAGAAAATTCATTTTCTAGTATTATTAATCGTGTGCTTTTGCAAATAATAATAGCAAGAAGCGCCTACAACAGACTGCGCACGCGCAATACGGAGGTTAATTTGAGCCATTGCTTCTGCAAGTTAAGTTGAGAAAAATTATAATTTCTTAAATACAGAAGCGTGACACGAGACAGACCCACAATGTGTGGGATAAGAAGTGTAGACACGAGAAACTAAACGTGTTTTAATTTTTGTTTTGAAACGCTGAAAGTTTTTTTCGTGATTGTCACTGCACCTTTAAGATAAAACCACGTGACCTTGTTGCTATAGCGTCATATCCGGACGTACTCTGTCAGTGCAATGTTTCTATAGATGTTGTGTTATCAATGGAAACAAGGAAATCCACATTTAATTAGCTGGCACAGCAACGCCAGCTGAAGCATTAAATGTCCGGTTTGTCCACATAAGTAAAAAGAGTCATCGAGTTTCTTCTCGTCTGTCAAGAAACTGCAGTAACTACCGAGTACCGTAAGTTCAAATATTGCTACCAAATTGTAGAAAAATAGCTAAGTATGCTTGTAGCCTATTGTAGCGCCAATCTAGTTTGCATCTTTACTTTAAAGTGTAATCCTCTGGGTAAAACCTGCAGTGTTTACCAAGAGAGCAAAGATTATATTTTACAGATGACTCCTAAAAGGTGTTTCGCAATACAAAACTAGCACATGTGGATCCGTTCAGCTGCTGGACTGAGCTAGCAGCTGTGTGACATTATGATCACGATAGCCCTTGGAGCAAGAGGAGCCCTCCTCAGCTTGAGGTGCACTTTGCAGAGAGCAGGCTCCTTTGCAAGACTTGGACTCATTCAGAACACCAGATCCGCTTTTGTTAGAAGGGGGCAGATTTTAACCCGCATACCCAAGATTACACTGCTATGTTGGGGTGCAGTCAACGGTTCTTTAAGTGCAGTCAGATGCCAGGAAGTTCTTGTTCAACCCCAGGCTTCGGAAAAAAAGTCTTTGGCTAAAATCCAAGTGCACAGACTTATATTTTTTCTTCGCCTCAGCTTCCGGGCGTTGGTCCTGCTCTTCAAATTTGTCCCCCTTCTTCTCCTTTACCCCTTGGTTCTGGTGTTTACCCGCTGGATGCCTCATTGGCTCGATGCTTTGCTGTGGGTGACTGAGACCTCTGGTCCTACTTTCATCAAGCTGGGGCAGTGGGCTAGTACTAGACGAGACATCTTCTCTCAAGATTTCTGCAACCGTTTCTCCAGGCTCCACGTCAAGGTACGCCCTCACTCCTGGGCTCATACCAAGCAGTGCCTCCGGCGGGCTTTTGGGGAGGGCTGGAGAAGGGTTTTGGTGTTTCGGAGTAAAGAACCGGTGGGATCAGGATGCATTGCACAGGTATACCGAGGCTGGGCCAGGGTGGACCAAGTGGAGGACCCAGCTTTCCAATCAATAGTAGAGGAGATGGAAAAAGACGATTTGTTGGAAGCCTGGGAGATCCCTGGTTTAGGGGGCATGGCAAGATCTCTGAGGCAGCTCTGGAGGGGGAGTGGGGAGGAAGAGAGCAGTGAGGACAAAAGTCTTCTAGATGGTCAGCAGGAGGAGCGCCTGATACCTGTGGCAATCAAGGTCAGTCTTGCAAGATTGTTTCCTCTCCTACAGATTCACATCACAGTCATGGAGTGTAAATAAAGGAGAACATGCTGTATGATTTTTTTTTCCTTCTTTTTCTTGCACGTGATGTTGGGTGTGTATAAATTGTATCCGATTCGTTGTAGGTGGTCCATCCAGGAGTGAGGAGACAAGTGGAGATAGACCTGTTGCTCATGAAAGCAGGTAGTTGGCTTCTGCACTGCCTGCCTGGACTCAAATGGCTCAGTATTTGTGAGATAGTGGAGGAGTTTGAGAAGCTCATGACCAAACAGGTGATGTAAAAATATTCAGACTCCTACATTTAACCTGGCACAAGCGTTTTTTTGACTTTGCACATGACTTTTAAATAGAGCTTTAGGATTCTGTGTACTAAGACAGGTCACAGTTAGGTGCGATTTCCATGCGTTTTAGATTGATCTCCGTTTTGAAGCCAGAAACATAGAGCGTTTCCAGACGAATTTCCGTGATTTTGATTATGTAAAGTTCCCTACTCCTTTGCGACCATTTGTCACCAGAAGCATCTTAGTGGAAACCTTTGAAGTGAGTATAATGATCTGCAAGTAATTGAGGTCATTAACTGATGACAGCATAGTTCAGTTAATATTCAGCCTCCTTTTCAGGAGAGTGAACCCATTTCAAACTACTTGAGCTCCGAGGTACCCAAGGAAGTGAAGCAGAGGATAGCCAAGATGGGAGTAGACACGCTGCTGAAAATGGTAAGATCCACAACCCAAGGCAATTGGTGTAAACGATAAATGTTTTATATACTTAAGGATGTGTGCAGAATGCTATCATGTGACAATGTAAACTTCTTTATTCCAGGTTTTTTTGGATAACTTCGTCCATGGGGATCTTCATCCAGGCAACATACTTGTCCAGAGTCAGGGTCCTCTCGCTGGCTCGGGAGACGGTACTGGTATTTCAGGGGAGCACCATGGGAAAACCATGCTCACTGATTTGTTGGACACGGTGGTGGTCAGTGTCAGGCCACCGCCGTGTCCTATCCAGCTGGTCTTGTTGGATGCTGGCATTGTAGCCCAGCTCAGTGACCGTGACCTTGCCAACTTTAAGGCTGTCTTCACAGCTGTGGTGCTGCATCAGGTAGGAACCGATGCAGGAAAATTTTATAGCTTCTTTAAGATGTACTTTGTGCCATTTTATGTAAAGTGCCTACAGCACTTAAGACTAAGTGTTGTGGGGGTGTCTGAATGAAACTGTGAAGAACATCAATGTATAAACTGCCTAAATGTGAATGAGAACAGTCTTTAACTAATCTGCAATGACGATAAGTGTTTGAACAGTGACACAGCTTTGGTCATTTGTACACCACCACCCATGAAACAGTCACAGAATTTCTTGTGTGTCTTTTTTTTTTTTTTTGTCCCAGGGTGAGCGTGTGGCAGAGTTGATTCTGAATCATGCCCGAGCTAATGAGTGCAAGGATGCCGCGCTGTTTAAAAAGGAGATGGCTGAGCTGGTGGATCATGCCCTCAGCAGCAACACCCTCTCACTGGGAAAGGTATGAACCAACATTTGCATTGTGTGTGTTATGACCAGGATGATGATGGTGGTTAATGTAATACAGTAGAAGACATTATAATATTATAGAATACTTTTATTTTTAAATTTAGCACTCCTTTTGTGATTCCAGCAACTTGATACATGTCTATTTTGTATCTGTATTGTTTGCTTTTAGAATTTTTAATCGTTTTCCTCTTCACTACAGCTTTCTGAAAAATGAAAATGTGTAGATAAAATAAATTGGCCTCAACATAAATTCATGCAAAACTATTCTTATCTAAAAACCTTCTAGTGAAGCAATAAACTGTACGAGAGGCCTGATCATAAAAATCCAAAACCAAAGCTGTTGTGAATTTGGCCAATCCAAACTCAAATCAGTTATTGGTTTTCATTTTTGTGTGTGGAGTCAATGTCTTTGTCGTATTTGTATGTGGAAGTTATGTAAACTATGAGGAAAGTTTCTTGATGCATTCTCAATCATCCAGGAAAGTAAATCTCCAAAAGTTGATTCTGTTCATCTGGACGTAGCGTTTTGTGGGAGAAACGTTTCGTCACTCATCCAAGTGACTTCTTCAGTCTCAGCTGACTGCAGGTTTCCCCAATCTTATAAACAGTACATTTGCATAATGACTGAAACCAGCCCACTGAAGGAACAATGGGCTGGGAGGTCAGTTCCTTAATCCTCGTTGGGATCCTAATTCCTGTGGCAGGTTAGCCTTCTTAGACTGTGAGGTTTCCGTCAGTAATGGGGGACATCTAAAAGCTGACGTGTACCGTAAACCTACACATACGGATCAGTATTATTTAAGGTTTGACTCTCATCATCCACTGGAGCACAAACTGGGTGTCATTAGGACGCTACAACACAGAGCGAACACCATCCCCACTGACACAGCGGCCAGGGAGGCAGAAGAACAGCGGATCAAGAAGGCCCTGAGTAAATGTGGTTATCCCAGCTGGACTTTTGTCAAAGCTGGAAAGGCAACTAAAGAAAGCTCCAGTCGATCCAGGAGGGAAGGAAAACCGCTGCCCAAGCGAAAACCTTTTAAACCCCAAAACATGCTGCGCCAAAACTTGGTCCACCCTGAGGATCGGGTCCCCTGACACAGAGTAACATAGTGTACGCTGTTAAGTGCCAGGAGGATTGCCAGGATTTATACATCGGGGAAACCAAACAACCTCTGGCGAAGCGGATGGCACAACACAGAAGAGCTACCTCGTCAGGCCAGGGCTCTGCAGTCTATTTACACCTACAGGCCAGTGGACACTCTTTCAAGGATGAGGATGTACAGGACAGGGAGGAACGCTGGTTTGAGCGCGGAGTCAAGGAGGCCATTTACGTGAAAAGGGAAAGACCATCTCTGAATCGAGGAGGGGGCCTAAGGGTACATCTTTCGCCATCTTACAATGCTGTGATTGCAGCCATTCCCCAGCTCTGTGACTGGTACTCATGGCCATTGATCAGTGGGTTTTGGTCAGTGGTTGTTGATCAATGGTCATGAGAATTTGCATAATTAAGATTAAGGAACTGACCTCCCAGCCCATTGTTCCTTCAGTGAGCTGGTTTCAGTCATTATGCAAATGTACTGTTTATAAGATTGGGGAAACCTGCAGTCAGCTGAGACTGAAGAAGTCACTTGGATGATGACGAAACGTTTCTCCCACAAAACGCTACGTCCAGATGAACAGAATCAACTTTTGGAGATATGAGGAAAGTTAACACAAATGTTAACACTATGGACAGGCTTCACTACATAATCAGTGATTTTTAATAGTGGTTACATAGTTCTTTGCTGGGGTTTGTTTTCTTTGCTTGCAGGTCCAAGTAGCCGACTTACTTTCCAGAGTCTTTGGCCTACTCATCAAACACAAGGTATAACATCACCAGGTTTTTATACTTTGAAAAAAAAAAAAGATCTTAACAGAATCTTATTTATCTGTCAAATATGTATTTCGCTTGTCACCGTGTTTCCAGGTCAAGCTGGAGAGCAACTTTTCCTCAATAATTTTCGCTATCATGGTGCTGGAAGGCCTGGGAAGGTCTCTCGATCCCAACTTGGACATTCTGGATTTAGCCAAACCCCTGCTGTTGAAGAACTGTGCCTCGCTGCTGTGATGCACACACAAAGGAAGCAGCTGTATAATAAATGTACACACAAGCGTAGTATGCCTTTAGTGGATCTACAGTTCATGTGTACATCCTAATAATACCATGACGTTTGTCTTTAGGCTTACAATGCAAGATATTCCTGTGTGGCATACACGTCTCCTCCACATTTCCATAGTGGTGATACCAAAATATACCTCATTATATGGTCAAATTTGTGGGTATTCCCACTTTTATCACTCCTATTAGGAAATGTGTTATCTGTTTGACTAAAATATCCACTACACCCCTTGAAGTTTATTGCAGGCTGTTGGCTGAGTCGGAGGGGGGGAAGTGGCACCAGAGGGCATTTGTTGGGATTTACGATCTAAAACAAAATACTGCTAAAATCACATGTTGATATTTTAAAGCACATTTTAATGTTTAATGACTAATATTGATCTCAGGACATCTATTATCACTCCATCCTTTATTGAATCCTAAAAATGTAATTGAGTGGACCATGTTTGCTTCAGTGTGAATCACAATGTACTGTATCACATTCTTATACACTAGGTTGACAATGTGTTGACTAATTGTAACACACAAAACTGACCTGGGTATTGTAGCATACACTATATTGCAGAAAGTTTTGACTCATCTGCCTTCACGTGCATATTGAACTTTCATATTGTTTAATATGTGGGCTCACCCTTTGTCGCTATAACAGCTTAAAGTCTTCTTGGAAGGCTTTCCATAAGGTTTAGAAGTGTGTTTGTGGGAATTTTTGACCATTTCCAGAAGCACATTTGTGCAAGAAGCTCTCTATGCACTGTTCTTGAGCTAATTTCTGTAGCGACTGACTGTGCAGCAAGTTGGTGACCTCTGCACACTATGTACCTCAGCATCCCATGATCTTATTACACAATATAATACCACTAACAGCTTGCTGTGAAATACTTAGGAGTGGGGAAATTACTTTATAGACCTGTGACAGTGGAAGTGCTTGGAACACCTAATGATTTGGATGGGTGAGTGAATCCTTTTGGCAATATAGTGTATTTTTGAAATTATTAGATTGAATGTGAGTTATTCATGTCAATAAAAAGAGAACCTGTAGTGACTTTGTTTTCTATTCATTCGATGCCTTTAGTTTGCGATCATAAGTTCACCGGACATGTTTAGGTCGACTGCTGCCAAGTGCAACTTCAAAGCAGAAAATTCACTGCATCAAGGGCACAGGATCCATTAATTTACAATTTTATTAAATCTGTCAATGAAAAACAGACAAGACGCGATTCTGTCAATATCATCAGGAAGAACAGTCAGCATGGCTGAGAGTGAGTTCAGGAGGTTTTGGTGAAAAAGAAACCAAATAAAATAATAAAAAGAACCTCATCACAAAATCCTTTATTGCAAAACTGTTGAATTTTTTTCCCCATCACGGGCCTGGACAAAGCAGCACTATTCAAGTAGGGAGGGAGGGGAGAGGTGCAAAGTGTAAAAAAACAAAACAAAACCTCTTAATAATAATAATCATCATCATTAATAATTGCAATGAAAGAAGAAATAAAAACATCTCTAACAGACAAACACAATCACCTCAGTATAAGACGAGATTCTGTTCACGGTCACGACAACCAGAGAAAAGTTTTATTTTTTTTCCATTTTTTTAAATGAATTAAATAGTTTTTAAAAATATCTCACCATTTACTTATACTCATCTTTTGTTTTCATTTATTGCGAAAAAATAGGCAACTGGACTAATTGTGATGATGCGAGTTTGTGGTTGTCTGTGTGTTTGACAGAGCATTACGGATTAAGTAGAGAGATACAGTGGAACGTCTTGGAGTGTTGGCACTGAGAGCAGCAGCAGTGTGGCAATGCAGTACTCTCGTCCAGCCACCAGGTGGCGCAGTTCAGTCTGAACATTCCTGTAGGGTTGAGCTGTGGCAGCCCACCCAAAAACAAAAAAACACTATATCAGAGGAAGTCAAGTTCTGCCAACAACCACCTCTGTATTTTCTTTCTTCTTCTGTTTTTTTGGAATGATGCTTGCGTGTTGAAATGTTGTCCACGGTCGCTTATCTGTGTTGCCAAATCTCAGTTCTATATACAAAGGTTTCAAATCCCTGAAGGACATCTACAAAGACAAGTGCAACCTCCGTGTGACCATCCCATTTCTGGAGAAGCTCAGGGAAGAAAGGGTTTCTTTATAAGGGCAAAAAAGGGGAGAATAGTACCAATAAGTTCTGGTAAACGTGCCACAGTAGGAATTAACAGAAGTGTTCTCGGGAATAAAAGTCAAGGAATGATGGATCAAGATTTAGGAATGTCAAAAGCTGGTGGAGAAGGGGACTGTAAAGTAGCCACCTTCATTTTGGGGGCGGAGGGATGGGGGCACCAAATATCCTAACCTAATGTAAATCTTTCTAACAGAATGTCCAAGAGGTGTGATGAAACAGGAAACAAAGCATCCATCATTTGTTTCTCATAATCCTTCATGCTGCTCCTTCAGTCTTCTCCATGCATTGTTAAAAAGAGTCTCTAAAGACCAAGCAGTTCTCCTCTATGTTGAACTGATTGTATTTTTGCACAGCCCACACTGTTTCTGTCCTCCTTTTCAGTGTGCTGCCCCCTGGAGGACTGGCTGCCCTCCAGCTTTCTGCAGCAGTCCCCGGGCAGGATCATGACGCTCATTTAGGAAGGGGAGAGAGGCAATGTGGGGAAACAAACAGGTCACATGGGTGTTTTGGGATTCCTGGAAGAAATTAGGGTGTAAACTCGGAGTTTGATATGGGAACTTCTTCCATGGTTAGGAAAGGAAGTTAGATTGGGGAAAAAAGACGAGGGTCTGTGTAGGCAGATCTTAAGCGCAGGCACGTACGCTCATTTTCACACATGCTCAATAACACACACACACACACACACACACACACACACACACACACACACACACACACACACACACACACACACATACTCTCATCTGAGTTTGAGGCCCTGGCTGTGTAAAGGTCATGGCAGATGGAGCTGTGGGCCATCAGCAATACATCAAGGCTACTTGTTGACTTTTCTTTCAAAATACTGAGAAGATCAGCAGCTGTCCATCGCCCGAGACAGATTTTTAAAAAAATTATAATTAGGAAGAGACAGACAGATGTAAGAGACTGACCGGCATCCTGACGGCAGAAAAAGAGAAGAAAGCACATTTCTTTCAGGCAGAGCCCAACTTCTCCCTTTTCCAAAGTGGGCAGCATTCATCCTCCAACAGTCTGATTGTTTTTGTCATTTTATCTCCACAAGTTCGTCTTTACATTCCTTTTGGGAAAAGAAATGTGGGAGGTTAAGCATTTTCAGGTAAGCATGAAATGGATATGTGAGATAATGCATTAAGGAGGTCCTTCTCATCTGTTGCCAGCTTCTTTCCACATCGGGGTTCCAAAGGCTGCCACCAGGGTGGGGGTGGTGTTTGGGCTAACTGTTGGGTGGGCAGCGGGGAAGAGGAGAAGGGCGTTGCTCAGTGTTTGTGGCTAGGAGTTGAGCCACGGGTGATTGAGGCATTCGCCGGCCGAGGCCCTCTTCTCAGGCACCATCTCCAGCATGGGCAGAAGGAAGTGAGTGAACTGACCGGCGTCTTCGTGCGACCAGCCGTACTTCTCCACCAGCACGTCAAACAGGGACCACGGCTTCAGCTTGGTGATGTGCCGCAGTTCACCTGCAGAAGGCCACACACAGCAGAGTCACTGGCATGGTAGGATGAACTGGAACGTTTGAAAAATGTTGGTCCCAACAAATTTTAAAAAAAGGATTTCTTGAGTAAAGGAAAAAGACTGGTGGTATATAATGTTGACTTGCTTTCCACAAATATCAGAAAAAACATGAAAATAAGCAAGATCTGGAATCTGTAGCCAAATCCTGCTTATTTTCACCATCGTTTTGTTTCGGTACTTGGCAGAGCACAAACTGTGTGTTAATCTGCTAAAACTAAGAGATGTGACTGCGGCATAGTTGTTTTTGGCTTTTTTCTGGGATTTGCTGATCACGAGGAAAAATACAAAACACCACCAGCCGTATCCTTTAACTCTAGAAGCACCCAGACATGCAGATAGTACAGCTTTAGCTTTGGCCTCTGAGATTTCTGCCTTTTCTCCAGAACAGTGGAGTTAGAAAAAAACAATGGTGCCCACATCAGTGAAATCCTGATAATTCAGCAGCAACATCTCGTTACAAAAACAGTTTAATTTCTGTTCAGAATTATTTAAAGAAAATGCAGCAGAAAAAGTCGACAGCATTCCAAAGTCTTGCTCATAAGGAATAATCAGAGATTACTGTTGTTGTGAAATTGCTTTAAACAAATAAAACTGTTATACACCATGTGTGATTAAACTTGACACATTGGTAGGAAACATGGCAGTCGGAAATAACTTTATTAAGTTAAAGTGAAAAGCATGCTTTGTGGTTTTTATTTTAAACCTAACGCTATCTGTGTAGTTATTTGTGAGTGCTCACTAAGAAACTATTGCAATGCAATTTAAAAATAACATTTTTTTTGTGGATTACTTGTTTACACTCTACCTCTGCTCCAATCAGCTGGTTGTTTATGTGTAAGGCTAACAGGGAAGTTCCAGGAGTGCCCTCTGGTGAACAAATTATGCAATATTAGCACTCATAACATGTCTGAAGGGTGTTTCTTTCATCTCTTCTCTACTTTTTAAATATTCATGGATTTAACATTATAAATGTTGTTACCAAGATATGATCAAATAGCCAGTATTAGCCAATATATTGGTCCCTGTCGATATATTGTGATCTCCAAATATCCACTTGCTGTAGGGATTACTGAATAGCTGTGTACCCAACTAGAAGTGACTAGTTATACATAATTTTCTTTATGCCTTGAAAAGCATTCAATTTGATATTTAAAATGGTGCAGGAACCTGCTCACCATTTTTTCAATTACTAAAAAGAAGCTTCTCGTGCATTGTCATGATTCAAGCATCATTAACAGGAAACTGACAACACTTTAATCACTGCCATGTCATTAGACAACCAGTCCTTATTTAGTGTTAGTGTTATTGTAAAAACAGGCTTATCACCTCAGAACAAGACTTGATCAGTTTTCAGACTTTTACCAGAGCCCTGAACTTTTCCATACATCACCCAGCGGCTGATGCTGTCAGATCAGACATTGCATGGTCTTTAACCTGAGAGCTCCCTAGTACAAAGAGTGTGTGTGCAGTCTGATTGAAGCCATATGAGAAAAACGCAGGTAAATCTATGGTGCAATCATAGTGAGCGAGAAGGTGTCGCGGTGAAGTAACATCATTACCGTGCATGCTGCAGGTATCAATACAGCAAACGTTAATCTAACAGTTGAAGAGGTTGCTGCTGAATCTTTTTTAAAATGTAAAAATACTGCTGGAGGCAAATCTATATTTTTTTCTTTTCTGGGTATTTTGGTGTACCGGTCATATAATCAGATGCCACATTAGGCTGTGATTATGCAGGCTTCAGCCAAACAGTAGCTGATTTCACTAATTACTTTGCCTCTCTGTGTGTTTGAAGGTTTGCTAATCAGTGAGGTGCTGTACCAATGGAGTGAAAACCTGCAGAGTCTTGGCAGAAAAATACACAATAACAGAGGGTACAAGAGGGACAGAAATAGCTAAAGACCTGGTGAGGTAACAGAAACAGAAGAGAAAAGAAAAGGATGGTGTCTATTATTCAGGAGAGGAGGAAAACACAAGTCTGACAGGGAAGCAAGCAAGTGTGAGCGAATGATTAATGATTGGAGCGATCGAGACCGAAGGTCCGGTTCAAACCACGGCTGCCATGGTAACCTCTTTTTCCTCTGCAAGATGGGAGAATGGAAACTGTTAAGAATTCTCCAGCTTTGTGCAAACATTCATTAGGAAATGTGGCTTTTGTTAGCAGGATAAACCCTTACAGCTGTTATTCTTTCCTATGCAGAGTATAGTTTTTCCAGGTGTTTTTGCCTCCAATCAATATATCAGTGCACATGAAGTAAACAAGCTGCCAAGGCCGTCTGACTGCAACATGCAGTCGAAAGCGTCTCGGCAGACGCGAGAGAGTCGGTGCGAGGAAGTCAGACCCGATTAACAGAGCACCCGGAGATAAAAGAGAGAACACTGAGACATCAAGTGCAGGCTCAGACCTCAGATAGAGACAGGATCAAAGGAGAAATATTCAGGTCTCATGACACATTAAGAAGAATATATGAGCAGAAAGGAAAACGAGAATGAGTGAGAGATTGCAAGGGTTATCAGCTGTATCAATCACAGGTCCATGAACTTACCATGCTCACAGGTGAGTAGGGTCAGAGAGGTGCATGACATACTAGAGAGAAGCCTTATACACTGTCATTGCTACTAGTTTAACTGGCTTTACCTGGTCATAAACCTGTAAACTATTAATCCTAACTTTGATATATAGGAGGCACTGATTAAACACATTTAACTGTTTCTTTTGGAATTTACAAAGGATATAAAACTTATTTGTTGGTCGGGATATATAATAAAAATATGTCACTGTGTTGTCTGTGCCATGGGGGAAAAAACTGAATGAAAGGCAGATGTGAAATATCAAAGTGTGACATAGATTTTAAATCAGAGGTAATTATAGCAAGCTTACATTTATCAGTCTGGTTAATAATAACTTATAATTTACAGATATTTAGTTAATGTAAATATTCAACACCCGATCTCCTTGACAGTGATCACCTTCTGTATGAATTTTACTGACTAGCAGAGATCAGAAGTGATTCTTAACAGATATTTTTCCTATTAAATGCACATGTGGAGTTTTCTAGAAGTGCTTTTAAAATCCTTTTTATTTTGTTATTAAGTTATGGAAACTTAATAGAATCCGGCAGTGTTTAAAATATATTTATTGCACACATTTGTTTATTTTATCTGCTTTGAAAATCACTTCATTTTGATGTTTTATTGTTAATTCATTTTACTTTTGCTTGTTTCGAGGGTTCGAGTTTGCTCATTTCAGTTTTAAATGAATAGTTTTATTTATTTGGAGTATTTGCTGAGTCGGCATTTATGAAGTTCAGAACAGGCAGCACAACATTTAATGCCATACAGATGTGTCAGTCTTAATAAACAGACAAATCAATGCCTCCTGATGTTTGCTGGGTTGACAAATTTGACCACACTGACAGAGACTAAAGGTAAGGTCATTTCCTGTTTAACTCTGTTTTAGTTTAGTTATTTAAAAAAAAGATAATCATTTTAGTTTTCTTTTAGTTGTTACTTTTTTCACATCTGTTGGTTTAGCTAACTATAACAGCCCAGCTCCTGACACACTACCGCTGTCCCTTTGGCTCACACTACCCTTAACCAGTCATCAACCACTGAGTCGTTTACCTTTCTTGGTGAAAAACTCTCGGCTGTACTTCCCAGCAGCGACCACTTTGCGTGGGACCTTCCCAAGGAGCTCCATGATCAGAGCGATGTGGTCTGCCCACCACCACATACGTCACAGAGGGAACAAGCACGGTTCAGCATTACGGCATGCACACACATCAACACGCACATACACTGGCTGAATGGTACCGACACACACTGATGCCTTAGGGCACACCGCAGACGCGCTTAGAGACCGATTGGTAATGCAGTGAGAAGCTTGTTCTCGATGTTTTAATCATACTTTCAAATCTGATTTTAAAACGGTCTGCCAGTGCATAATTTCTGTCCCTCTCAGACATCCGTGTGTCCCAGTCCCACCAGCTCTCTGGCCAGCGCTACCTCTTCTGTTGAAGAACTCCCGGGAATATTTTCCGGAGAGTGCAAAGTGCCTCGGAATACAGCCCAGCAGCTCTATGATGTGGGCTATGTGGTCTATGGAGGAGAGAGGCAGGTCGGAGGAGGGAGAAGGGAGAGAGAAAAAGAAAAAGAAGAGGAAGGGGGCAGGAAATGTTGACAAAGAAATAGAAATAGAAAAAGAGTAAAGCCAAAGACGGTAGAATTAATCGAAAGAAGGATGAAACACAGTGTAAGAACATTGTAAATACAAAAAGGGGACAATTACAGGTACAAAACATTGAA